ATTAAGTGTCCAAACGCTGCAAAGGCTGATAGACGTTTGTGTGTTGTGACTTTTATGTATATATTGTGCCATTCTTAGTTAGTGTATTGTCTGTCTTTGTTAATGTTTGTTTATAATGGAGCACTGTAATGAAAAATTATTTCCCCTAAGGATCAATAAAGTATTCTGATTCTGATTAGACGGGCTTCCCAAAAAGAAAGCTTTGCACAAACCTCAGCGATTGTAAAATGTTTGCAAAAGCGAGAAAAGCGAGAGCAATGCAAGACACCTTAAACATGCCATCTACAACAAAATCATCCTAAAACTCATTCAGTGGATGTGAAGATCGAACCAGTTTATGTACCAGTTGCTAAAGTCAAATATGGAGGTTTTATAGAGAATCACATAAAAGGAGCGTTTAGTTACAATGCCAGAGTACGCATTGGCAAGTGTCTTTAAACCTGGGATAGTACGAGATGATAATAGGAGTACAGATATGAATGGTGAAACAGTCTCACGCTAATTAATGTCTATAAATAGGACAAATCTGTGAATGTGTGGCATAGAAATGCTGAGTGCTCATCAGCTCAAGGGTTTCTGCTCATGGAGTACTGCAGGAGCAGAGGGACACGCTGATAACAGTGAGAGTCTCAGATTACGATAAGCCTCATCCTTCCAGCTTCTACGCACCGGCTTTCACCGAGCAGAAGCCGGGGACAGATGAGAAAAGTGTTTCTGAGGACGAGGTGGATTTCCACAAGGAGTGAAGCCGCCCAGGAGAGGGCGCCCCTCGCTCAGTGAAGTATACCAGAGCTGAGCGCATGCACCAGGACACGAAAACACACATACACACGGTGCAGCATCTGTGTTGGAGATATCAGTCTTTTTATGGGCATTACTTCCTCCTCGAAACATTCGCCCTTCTTACTCTGTGCTCTTCTAATCCAAGCCCTACACCGAGTGTTTCCACTCACGCTGCACCTCAGGCGGCCCGACTCAGTACGGACGAACTCGCTGGAGAGCGTCCTCACTCAGTGCCTGTATTCATTTATGCCATCTGTTTAGCATATGCAAACACACTAGCACTACATCGTCCTGTCGCTAGAGAGATGACAAAATACAGTATCGTCTACTGGCACCTTGTGTTGCCATGGAAACAGGATAACAAGGTAGACATTAATCTGCAAAACCTCTGACTCGCATTTGAGATGGAACCTGTGGCTGAATGATCGGTGAACTTTGGTGGAGGTGCTTCTCAGAAAATCTGAGGTTTGTTGATGTGGCGCCGCCGAGGATTCAGGAGAAGCGCTCTGCACTGTGTCTTCTTGACAGCGCCATCTTTCAGAACGAAGACACTTGCAGAGAAAGGCAATGACTTTTTTTTTTTGTGTGTGCATTTTGTTTTGTGTTTTTTATGAAATGGAGTTTTTGGGGGGGAAGTAATACTGTTGTCAAGGTACTGTAGACACACAAACACAGATGCAAACATCATGAAATGAACTCTGTATCCCAGACAAGTGTCTCTGGAACCCTCAGTGGAATGGTTTCAGAGATATCCATATTAATAAGGTTATTATACGGTTATTTTAATGTGTGCTCACTCTGTCAAGACACCTTGTTCTAAGACCAGCGCATAGGTGTGTCCCGGGGGTCCTCCATATTCACGCGGTGATTGCAAGCAACTAACAGCAACTTATTAAGATGTGGACGTTGACTCTTTTTAAAAAAAACATTTCCCTAATATAAAAAGAGGGCTGCCACATGCCTGCAAGCATCACCTATCTGGCATCCTTTGAGCAAGGAGATCCTGTGGATGAGAGTGGAACATTTATGCTCAGAATAAAACTACAACTAGTGGTTCACAGGTTTGTAAACTTCCTTATCTGCCTAAGTGCAGATAATCTTGTCTATATGGACCATCAAACATTAATTTCACGCTGAAACAAATCACTCACAGCGATCAGCTATAATTCAGGCCATCAGCTGAAACTTGTACGTTGTCAGGTCTCTCTTTCCCCAAGGTTGCTGTGCCCTCGCTCTACTCTTAAGCACATGTGTCCCACCCCGTGTTGGTCAAGTTACTTGAAAAAAGTAATCAGTAACTAATTACTGATTACTTCCCCAAAAAAGTAATCCCGTTACTTTACTGATTACTTATTTTCAAAAGTAATTAATTACTTAGTTACTTTTTAAAAACATGATTTACAACCTGAATAGGTGATAAAGCGATAGATCTCTCAGCCCAGTTCTACTTTTTCTACATAATCCATCATACAAAATGTAATCAAATGGAAAAGTCTCCTTTTAAAACTTGTTTTATTAGTTTTAATCTTTTAACTTTATGCATCAAGCAAAAATTTAATTATATGTAACATTCTCTGACTGGAAGAAATTTGTTTAATATTTAAACTTATTTTCTGCACATTCCAGCACATAAAATTTTTTTTTTTGTGTGTGTGTTTACACTCAGTCTTTCAAATAGATGCAAGTAAAACACAGCAGAAAATAAATAACATCAAAGACTCAGAGGTCCTTTTGCTCTATTTTCACCTGTAAAGCAGGAGTGGGGTAGGCGGAGGTTTACCCTGGTGCAGGTGTGCCGCAGCGGTCAGTGGAAGGATACGGCAGTTTCTCTGTGAATTTCCCATTACATAATAAAGTATTCTGATTCTGATTACGTGGTAGCGCACTCGGAGCTTGCTTGGAAGTTTAGGGGTTTTTGTCGCTGTAAAAAGAAGTTTCCTTCCCACGCACAACGCATGCTAATGTTTTTGTCACTTTTTATGGAATCAGACTTAAAGTAAGGTCAGTACTTCCACACTTTAAACGCTGCACGCTCATACTCTCTCCCGTACTCGATATATGATCCACTGTTGATCTGCACACAGCTGTTGTCACGAACGTCACACTTGCTTACCTCACTGTCATGAGACATTCTTGCAAAAAAATAAAAAATAAAAAAATAAAATAAAAATAAAAAAAATCACGGTTTTAGTAACGCAGCGTTCCTTCGGGAAAGTAACGGTAATCTAATTACCGTTTTTGCAATAGTAATCCCTTACTTTACTCGTTACTTGAAAAAAGTAATCGGATTACAGTAACGCATTACTGCCCATCTCTGGTCCCACCTTGAAAAGTCGGGCAGGTAGCTTTCGAGCCATGTGTCAGACAAACAGAAGGTACAAAGTGCATAACAGCAGAGGGAGTTGATGTTAACGTGTCAAAATGTCCACGGCGCTGATAAATTCACATCAGAGTAGCACTAACGAGCTTTTGTTAGTGGGATGCATGTGCATGCAGTCTCGGTGCAGTCGAAGGAAAAAACGCACACAGAGGTAGAAGAAAAGTCATTATTGTGAAAGCTGCGGCCAGGTACCTGAGTATATCTCCCTGCTCTTCAATTTCATCAGCAACCTCTTCACACCTGCAACGATGTGAAGAAGCCCATCACCATCACACGTTCCAACAACTGCTCCCCCAACTTTTCCCTTCCCTCAGGCATGTAGGTAGAGAAAGTTAATCCACACAGAGAACCCCATCAGATCTGACACATGTTAATGTTGCTAGGGGTAGCAGTGAGGTGGGAAAAGAATAATTTAATGTTAGAAGGATAAAGTGAGCAGTTTGTGGCCAAACAGTGAGGTCAGGGCAGGTCAACACTATGTGAGAAACATGGTCAGCTCCGAGATGTAGAGCACGCAGACAAATATGACCCCCCCACTGAGTCGCCATTACTCTCACAGACTGGCTCTCGCCTTCTATCTCAGCACTGTGTGTGAGTGGTGTCATTAGTGGAGAGGGGGACATCTGTTAGGTCCTTACCTGCGTTCCTGTCTGGTAAGATACAGCAATGCTTCTGCAGTATGCCTGGCAACACCTTCCAGGAAACAACAGAAGAAGAGCAGAAGAGATGGAAAAACGTTAATATCACAACAGCTCAAAGCAGATAAACAACTCAGGGCTCAGCGGAAATGCACTGAGCCATGCTGAGACCCACAATTACAGAGAAGCAACAGATACCCATTTCTCACATCATTAGCATCAAAAGGAGCAGCTCCCACCTTTATCTGCAACCTTTCTTCTGCAAACTGTGGGAGGTTCATTTTAAGCTCTGAGTCAACAGTGGAGGTGCAGAAGCATTAAGGTAAAGAGTGGCAGTGGGATCGGTGAATCCGACACAAATAGGAGCTCTGCTCCATCGACGTCTGTTCCACAAAGTTTTAGCAGCCATTGCTATACAACAGCCAATTATTAGATTGCTCCAAAGCCTGAGGCTGTTATCTAATCAATAATTTATGCCAACAATCTATTCTGTGAGGATTCACCACAAATTTAATCGATTCAGATTTTATCTGAACTTCGAATGTTTTGCTATCATCTCCCGTCCTCTGTCAGTGACCGTTTTGTTCTTGGGAAACGCTGCTGAATCATTTGTGTGCAGACCTGAAAAATCACTGGGTTTTGTAATGATAACAGCTTTGTTCAGCTGCGACACTGAATATCATTACAGGCATTATTATTGCATGATTTCTATCTGGGAAAAAAGCTCTTGGAATGTAAACAAAACCTGAGATTCGGCGGTGACTCAGCAGGTCCCATCAGTCTCTTTTTGTCTTTGCATCTGACTGACAGGCTGATTGTTACCTGAAATGGCTTTAACAGGCGACAGGCCTCTTCTTTATTTCTTCAGCTCCATTTTTTCCTTGTCATTATGTTAACATCCCTTTACATTTGCGCTCACTCGTTATCTCGGGCTGCTCTGTCTCGCAGAGTTATTTCACTCTGCTTTGGGACTGAACAAGCCAGATCAGATAAATGTTCTTTTTAATTAAATGGGGGAGCATATATAAAGGTACTTGAAGAAAAGCGAGAAAAGCCTGAAAAATAGAAACTAACCCTTCTAGCTCATCTGTAGGAGACATTGAATGAGCTAGCAAGAAGACACTACATCATCCATCCAAGAGCAGGGCAGCAGACATACTCTTATCTTGGAAACTCACTTACTGCTAGCAGAGCAAAGGTAGGCATGTCCTAATTATCTGCATCATTAAAAACACTTA